CCCTGAGCACCAGAACTCAGAGCATGTGTAGTGCTTTGTGCATGTTTACCCATCTAGTTGTCTAAGTATTAAGCTCTCTGCCCCGGTGCTGTCACCCATGCTTGCTTCACATACCAGTGTGTGTGTGTGTGTGTGTGTGTGTGTGTGTGTGTGTGTGTGTGTGTGTGTGTGTGTGTGTGTGTGTGTGTCCCATAGGGTGCAGTGGTACATAGCCAGCAATCGCATGTCATCACGTACATTGAAAATCAACATAATTTTTGCGAATCGACCTTATTTTCAGGATCACTTTTCAACGAGAACGAAGCAAAGTCTCCCGAACGAAGCCTAGAGGAAGAAAATCACCCTCTCCACTTCACCATCACGATACTGACATAGATACGAGATGAAACAACTAAAAAATCCACAAGAAAACTGTACGGCCGTCATCGCGCTGACTTTGGTCTGACTTTGGTCTGAGAATTTCTATCACGATCAAAAATGTACGAGGAGCACTGAAAAATAAGCCACAGACGTACCTTTATCGCTCTCTACTCCTTTTTCAAGGCACAAAAGTCGCCTCTCCACTTTCAAACCAGGAACCAGACATGCCAGTGGTCCTTTTCAGCTGCTCCACGAGCGCAGGAAATGTTCACCAAGGGGCGCAGAGCAGCATCCATTCCAGAAAAAGAGCTAAAATACGAGTGAGACTGCATGCCTGAGTACATGAGTACATGTATGAGTACATGCAGAAAATAGTCAATTTCAGCGTTTCTGCTCCAAACAGCAATTAGCTTCGACTAGAAACAAAGATTACACCAAAGGATCAAACAACAACCATTTTCTGCAGTTTTTTGCAGATGGCTTCCTTGTGCTTGGCCCAGCACGCCAAAAATCACACCTTGGAGGAGTACAAAAATTACAACTCTCATATGTCCTCGATTGCTGGCCATGTGTGCAGTCGATTTCCAATCGAGAGGTTGCGGGTTCAATTCCCGACGATTATGGTCGCACACGTCTTCCTTCTCTTTCTCGGACTCTTCCTGACTTTTCATTCATTCTCCTGGGTGGTTACCAACAGCCAATGTATGCCAGAGTATGTGGTGTGGTGTGTGTGTGTAGAAAAAAAATGGAAAAATGAAAAATAGGGATTCACTGCCCAGAAAAAAAGTCACTTCAAACAGCTGTGTGGTGGATACCAGGCTAAAAATAGTGGCGGTCAATTCATCAGCCTTGCAAGCTGTTGAATGGTGTAAACCCAGCACAAGTTGCTATGTCTAACATAGCTGTTCGCTATCATCGCTTCCGCGATGGGCATGTCTGAGGTCTGAGGTGTGTGATCATGTGCCAATTACGCATGGCGTGTTTGTGACTGTAGGCGTCAACTCAATGTTCAATAAGGTCGGCTGTGACCCATCAGCAATCAATGACATGTTAGGTGGACAGCAGGGTGTCACAGACGCTAGTGTACTTCAGGTAAGATACCACTGACCAAGACCGTTTCGGCCCTTGATGATGATGACAAGACCTTTTCGGCCCTTGATGATGATGACAAGACCGTTTCGGCCCTTGATGATGATGATGATGATGTGCAACATAGAATGTAACAGTGGCGCCGACCAGACTGATGGCGTGTGGAATTGACCTTGATCAGTGCCTTTGCCCCCTTTACCTGTACTTTACCTACCCTGTCCCGGTGACATCGAGATATGAATTCTGTTTCCTGACTCCTCTTGTTTCTCCCTTTTCGTAACTGTTACATTGGAGACCCAGAGTGATATCACAGTTTGTTGTCAGTGATGTCACTCGTCTGCTTTCATGAATACGGTAAAGTCTTGTATAAAAGCCGCGGCTTCTATGACTTTCTTGGTGAAATTTTGCAGGCTTCTATATGAGACAGGCTTCTATACAAGACAGGTATTTCTATGTATGTCAACAGCCTCAACACTAAAACTAGGCTTGTGTGTGATTTGATGGGCCCAAAATTGCGGCTTCTATTCGAGGGTGGCTTCTATTCAAGTGCGGCTTTTATACAAGACTTTACGGTATGCTCACCAGTGCTATCAGTGCTATCAGTGCTATCAGTGCTATCAGTGCTATCAGTGCTATCAGTGCTATCAGTGCTGTCAGTGCTGTCAGTGCTATCAGTGCTATCAGTGCTATCAGTGCTATCAGTGCTGTCAGTGCTGTCAGTGCTATCAGTGCTATCAGTGCTATCAGTGCTGTCAGTGCTATCAGTGCTATCAGTGCTATCAGTGCTATCAGTGCTATCAGTGCTATCAGTGCTATCAGTGCTGTCAGTGCTGTCAGTGCTATCAGTGCTGTCAGTGCTATCAGTGCTATCAGTGCTGTCAGTGCTGTCAGTGCTGTCAGTGCTGTCAGTGCTATCAGTGCTGTCAGTGCTATCAGTGCTGTCAGTGCTATCAGTGCTATCAGTGCTATCAGTGCTGTCAGTGCTATCAGTGCTATCAGTGCTGTCAGTGCGGTCAGTGCTGTCAGTGCTGTCAGTGCTGTCAGTGCTATCAGTGCTATCAGTGCTATCAGTGCTATCAGTGCTGTCAGTGCTATCAGTGCTGTCAATGCTATCAGTGCTGTCAGTGCTATCAGTGCTATCAGTGCTGTCAGTGCTATCAGTGCTATCAGTGCTGTCAGTGCTATCAGTGCTATCAGTGCTATCAGTGCTGTCAGTGCTATCAGTGCTATCAGTGCTGTGGTGTTGTAGTAGATCTACTAGCAGGAGCATACAGCCAAAGCCCAAATAATTATGGTGTGTGTTTGTATGTGTGTTGGTGTGTTGATGTCTGTGTAACTTATGTGTGTGTGTGTGTGCGTGTGTGTGTGTGTGTGTGTGTGTGTGTGTGTGTGTGTGTGTGTGTGTGTGTGTGCGCGCGCATGTGTGTGCATGTGTGTGTATGTTTTGTGTGTGTGTGTGTGTGTGTGCGTGCGCGCGTGTGAGTGCTTGTCTGTGTTGCTGGTGTTGCTGTCGTCATTCTCGTCATGGTGCAGTATATTGGTATTATTGAGGAGCGTGCCAGTGAGCTGCTACAACTGCAGAGCTTTGTTCTGACCAAGGTATGTAAACTTGCACACAAACACACACACAAACACAATAGTAGTCTAAATGTGCAAATGACTAAGTGAGATTTTCTAGCACAGCTGCATGTGGTGTATGTACTAAGAAACATAGCCTGAATCTACATGGGCACATTGGTTGGTGCACAGCTCGGAAGGTGATTGTGAGCACATACTTGTGTCACTTGTCTTGCCATCTAGCATAATATTAATAGGCAGGACAAGAAGGATTTAGCAACTCATAAAATGAGTATGGAATGAGTCGCCGAGTCATCTTCACATTTAAACTTGAACGATTATTATCAGTAGAATTTCCTCCTTCCTTCTATAAATGGAGCTGAAAGTGTGCAACTTTCTATGCTGTTTTGTATGCAGGAGGCCGATGAAGCCATTGAGATTGCACGCGAGGCAGCAGAACGACAAGAGGAAGACGTGGAGAAGGCTATTGCGGCTGTCAAGGCAACGCTACCCGTGACACTGCTGATGAACTCCATACCAGCAGCACCACGAGTTTCACATGAAGTCATTGCACCAAGTACTATGTAAGGGTACTTGTAGGATGTATGCTACTTCAAACTACTGTATAGCAGCAGGACATTTTCTACTTCAAACTACTGTATAGCAGGACATTTTCGGACGGAAATATTTTCGGACAAAGCCGAAATTCGACCTTTCGTACGGATTCTTTTTTTGTACCGTGCTGCATGCTAAATGCACGTGTTCAAGTAGTACGCATGTATAGTGTACATAATTTCACATGAACAAATTTCAGTACGGAATTAATTTTAGTACAAAAGAGGCCGTGTACGAAATCGTACGAAAATAAATTCCGTCCGAAAATTTCCTGCTATACAGCAGATGAAAAACCCCATCATGCACTACAATAGTATACACTAGTAGTGCAATATCCAGACGTACTATCCAGACGACGTACTATCCAGACGACGTACTATCCAGACGACGTACTATCCAGACGACGTACTATCCAGACGACGTACTATCCAGACGACGTACTATCCAGACGACGTACTATCCAGACGACGTACTATCCAGACGACGTACTATCCAGACGACGTACTATCCAGACGACGTACTATCCAGACGACGTACTATCCAGACGACGTACTATCCAGACGACGTACTATCCAGACGACGTACTATCCAGACGTACTATCCAGACGTACTATCCAGACGACGTACCACACGGCGGCTTGGAAAATGCTTTAGAGTGTTGGCCTTCTGAACTCAAGGTCGCAGGTCCTATCCCAGTTCATTGCAAGGAGACTCCCACTCCCAGCAGACCCATTTGAGATTGGGTACCTGACTTGAATCAGCTGTGGCTTGGAGAGCAGATACAGTGGGATGCCGATTATCCGGACGTCAACTTACCGGATGATCAGCTATCCGGATCGCCAGGTCGGGTTGGACACAATAAAATAGCGGCTTTCTCGAGTTTTTTTGCTGATTTCCCCCACTCAGAGCACCATTCAAGTGATCCATACCAGTAAGAGTATTACAACTGGTTGGAGTCAAAATGATGTATAACGGTAGTGTCATTTTGAGGAGCTGGAGTGCGCCTAGTTTCTGTTGTTCACGTACTGCCGAAGAGAATGAAATTTAATGATGAAAACATGCGGGAATATGCATGTTTTAGATGGATATGTGACTCCTCCCTTATCCGAATATTCTTCTCATCCAAACCTCTGGAGACAGCCCGTGCCCCGAGAGGTGCGGATAGTCGGCACTCTACTGTACCAAGTTCTCTATCATGGCTTTTGCAATGGGCATATGTATTGTACTTGTATGTGTGAGGGGGTCGTGCTTGTGGCTGTATGCGTCTGTGTGTATGTGTGAGGGGGTCGTGCTTGTGGCTGTATGCGTCTGTGTGTATGTGTGAGGGGGTCGTGCTTGTGGCTGTATGCGTCTGTGTGTATGTGTGAGGGGGTCGTGCTTGTGGCTGTATGCGTCTGTGTGTATGTGTGAGGGGGTCGTGCTTGTGGCTGTATGCGTCTGTGTGTATGTGTGAGGGGGTCGTGCTTGTGGCTGTATGCGTCTGTGTGTATGTGTGAGGGGGTCGTGCTTGTGGCTGTATGCGTCTGTGTGTATGTGTACACGTGTACTTGACTATTTGCGTATGTGTATTTGTGTGCCTGTGTGGGTGCATGTGTGTTCACATGTGTGCGCTCTGCTTCAGGGATGAACCCAGTCTTATCTCTGATGGCAGTGATCACGATGAGCCTTTCGACATGGATGAGTTAAGGGAACGTGCCAAGCGAGAGGTAAGGGCGTGGAGCACTGGCTGCACTGGTGTGTTGAATACTGAGTACATTGAGGTAAGGGCATGGAACACTGGCTGCACTGGTGTGTTGAATACTGGTGGTAACTTCGGGCATGGAACACTGGCTGCACTGGGGTATTGAATACTGAGTACATTGAGGTAAGGGCATGGAACACTGGCTGCACTGGGGTGTTGAATACTGGTGGTAACTTCGGGCATGGAACACTGGCTGCACTGGGGTATTGAATACTGAGTACATTGAGGTAAGGGCATGGAACACTGGCTGCACTGGGGTGTTGAATACTGGTGGTAACTTCGGGCATGGAACACTGGCTGCACTGGGGTATTGAATACTGAGTACATTGAGGTAAGGGCATGGAACACTGGCTGCACTGGGGTATTGAATACTGAGTACATTGAGGTAAGGGCATGGAACACTGGCTGCACTGGTGTGTTGAATACTGGTGGTAACTTCGGGCATGGAACACTGGCTGCACTGGGATGTTGAATACTGAGTACATTGAGGTAAGGGCATGGAACACTGGCTGCACTGGGATGTTGAATACTGAGTACGTTCCCGCTACTGTAGCTACTGTAGCTACTGTACTCGTTGCACTCATCTCTAGAATCTCTAGAATACGCTCTTTTATCAACCATGTAGCCATGTAGCTATCTTTTATCAACCATGTAACCATGTAGCTATCTTTTATCAACCATGTAGCCATGTAGCTATCTAGAATTGCACCATGACCTGGATACAAAATGTCAAGTTTGTGTCGAGAGTTGATGGTGGAGGGTGCATGTCGTCGAAATCGCTTCACCTGCCACTTGCTGGAGCGTTGTGCACCAAACATTCAACGAATGTTCTCGACATACCAGTGAATATTTTCCATGTTACATGTTTGTGTAAAACATAATCAACACCTGCCACGATGGGCTCATTCTTTCTCTGAAACCCTTCAATTATACCGTAGTAAAAACACCGGTGTAAACTAAGTCTTGTTCTCCGATTGCATAGTCATTTCCTAGACTGTTCTCACAGTGAAACTGTAAAACCCGGAAACTGTTGCGATCCGGAATCCTTTGCGGTTTTCGTGATGGGTGTGATGGCAAAAGTAAGCCGCTACGAACTGTAGTAAATAAACTGGGGAAACTGACTCCAATCGCGAACACACCCAGTTGCAAATTTGTCTGTGCTCGCGAATAGGAACTAAAATGGATGCAACGGTTTCCAGGTTTACAGCAGTACAGACTCGGATAAAGCATGCACCTGGTTATGTATGTATGAATTTCATTCCAGAGATCATCCTCCATAAGAGCGTGTATAAGTGTGTACCGTAGGCTGGTAAGACAGATTCGGTCAAGGCGCATGTACATTTCAGTCTTTCTGGAGTTTATCCTCTTGATTTCCTTCACTGTCGAGATGGAAATTGATGACGGTCGCTTGGCTGGACCATTAGAAACTGCTGAAGCTGGACCTAGCTGGCACAGCTGACGTCTGGTGCTCATCTTGTCAGGTTGTTTGCTGACGGGCCCTGCCTAGTCAGGCTGGCTGGTCAGTACAAGGACTTGCTAGCATGCTCTGCTATGTCATGATAGCTCAAACTGGCTACTGATCTCAAACTGGCTACTGATCTTTCACTCTGACCCCGAGGACACCGAGTTACGACTGCAAAGTGGAGATGACAAAGCAAGAAGGACCCGTGGGTGGGTGTGATCCCCGGGAGCAAGAGTACATAACCCCCCAGAGTGCGCAACTGGAATGGGGTTGTGGGACGGCGTAGTCCGTGATGTACGTCATTTCTTGAGTCGGACTTGCCTCATTTCATCGACGCCATGCACCACGTCCACACTCCCCCCCCCCCCCCCTCATGATGTCATTATTAAAGTGAACTTTCACACTCTGGGGGGATTATGTACGCTTGCCGGTAGCCTAATCGGTAGGACACTGTCCCGGAAAGACAGGGGTGCTGGGTTCGAATCCCGTTTGTGTTTATTATTTTAAACAGCCATGTTAATATATATGTTGGTGTTCGAGTCTCAAAGTGCAAACCGTGATTTTATGGTGTTCTGAGAAGAGATGTAAAACAACTAAACAACCCCCCCCCCTACGGGCAATGTAGCCAGTGAGCCTTGGTGAGCCCCGGCCTCATCCCGTCAGTCTACTATGTGCTGTGTATTTTGTTTTCGTGCAGCTGAGCAAGAAGGAGGCGAAGAAGAATGCAACTGAGCCAACACAAGAAGTTGAGCTTGCTGAGGGTGGTACACAGCGACTTGGTTCCAATACGACAACGAGTAGAAAGTGAACAGAAAATCAAAAAAAAACACCAAAACGTGGTAACAAGTCAAAACAAGCACATTGCGCAACCAATTCAGAGGTATGCATGAAACGGTGGACATAGTTGGTGGTTTGGAAACAGATTTAAAACGAGTTGGCTGTGCCCTCCTGGTGTGCCAACTCGTTTAGAGATGTACTACCGGTAATACCCTGGTCCTAAACTGAGTGATGTGAAGCCAAAACGAAATCTATGAGTATCTATGATATGAATGTATTCTGTTTCTCTAGAGCACTATAGTATGCATGTGCTATGTATAGTGCAGTCAGCGCTATCATTGTGCTATATGTATGTTCAGTGCAGTCAGCGCTATCATTGTGCTATATGTATGTTCAGTGCAGACACTATCATTGTCGTTTCTAACTTGTTTTAGGCACACATGAAGTTCTCAGTAGGATACCTGCGATTGTCCTCTTCATTCTTTTTGGCAATTGTTATTGTTTAGGTGTTCTTTTTCTAATAGTAACACTGCAAGCACCTTATTCCCGTGGCAAGATATGGGTGCTGCGGGCACACGGAAACGTAACTTTGGGCATACATTAATTCCGTGTGATGATGAGAGGTGGTCCTCCCCTCTATTTTCCTGTGTGCGTGTGCGTTTGTGTGTACAGTACTTTCAGGCGCCGAAGAACTGGGGGGGGGGGGGGGGCAGGGTTCTAGCCTAGTACATTCTTATTGTTAGCGAACACAGCAGTTTCGTTCTTATTCGGTGGTACAGTGACTGAGTCTTAACATGTACAGTACGTATCGGTTATAGCGTGGTCGTGTAAAAGAATATACTGCCTACAAGAATGAACTCTCATGTTTTCATAATCATAACATGGATTTCAAGTGCACATTTATTCTTACAAGCAATTTTATCGTACAGTAGAATATATCGGTCCTAAGAATGGACTTTGTGTAGGAAAACATACCAGATTAGTACAAAGTATATCGCCTGTAGTAATAATATCCGTCCAATGCAGTTCCGATCTGACTCGCGCTGGGTCGTAGTGCTGCAGGTTCAGCTGTTGTGGTCATGTAACTCATGTTGCATAGCCACATGGTAACCCTGGCCCTATGGCCCAGCATGGCCTACTATGGGACTATGACCAGCATGCACAGTACTAGCACTACATAATAAAGTCATTGCATGTATGATGATCTTCCTGCCTCTGCGCACATGCACATGATATGTCACACTTGATTTATCGTGTGTAAGAAATATCGGAAATAAGAATAGAAAGTGGGTGTTTTTCAAACACCCACGCTATAACCGATACTTACTGTACAAGTATGCGGAGTTTTACGTCTGAGCTGTAGTACATAATCATTATAACAAGTATATGACGGTTTCCGTTCTTATCTGCAATAGATCCAGCCTACACCGTTCTTAAAAATTTGTGAAATTCTAGCCTGGCCGTTCTTCGGCGCCCGACAGTACTGTATTTGTAAAGGCTGATTTCTCCAGGGCCAGCTGAACTCATGCACTACTTCCTGTAAGAACTGCGTAATGTTAGTGATGATTTGGCCCAAAACACCAAAATTAATGTGTTTCTATTGCCATGTATTCAGGAGTCAGGACACAGTACAGTAGAGTCGCGCGCTAAAGAACGTTGAGCCCAAAAAACTTCCAGCCTGAAATGCCGAGAACGCCACAGCCTAAAGTTAAGAACGGCGGTGTTGGCTTTCCGGCAGCTTTTGGGATAGATATGATCCAGTACGAATGATTTCTAAGAATGTGCTATAAGAACGCAGCCAGATTGCTGAACAAATTAAGAACGCCCCCGGCTATCCCCTTGGGAACAAAGTTCTCTTTGGACGTGTGCCTCTACTGTAGTAATCCAGGACAGCAGGGCAGCAGCACAAGGGTATTCGGATGCTGATGTTTCAAGCTTGGGTACAGATTTGTCAGATCATATTGCTAGTCTTGAACTAGCCAAAGGAAGGTGTGTGTGTGGGGGGGGGGGGGGCAGCGCCCTCCTACTCTAATCAGTGGCGGGTTTAGGGTGTGTGCAGGGGGGGGGGGGGGGGCGCCCCCCCCCCCTCAAAAGTTTCGACCTAGGTTTCGAAAAATAAAAAGGCAGGGCTGGGGGCGCGCACGCAGCCTGAAACGCTCGTCCAAAAGCGGTTGCACGATACGGTGCTCGAGCTGGAGTTGATTGTACACACTACAGAGCACCAGTGAGCATGCACGGCTACAGAAACACGGTGACCTGACTGTGTTTTTCAAAATGGCTGACCTGGGACAGTAGCATGATGTCATCTACCCCCACCCCATCCCGGCCGCAACCCCCCCCCCCCCCCCTCAGCCAAATCCTGGACACGCCACTGCTAATTGAATACCCCTCTGTGAAAAAGTGCTGTTTTTTTCATGCCATTCAACGAAAATGCAGTCTATGGTCACTACTATTGTAGAAGGTTCATAAAATGATGCACATTTGTTTGGGGTGAAGTTGGGGGTTTGCCCCATGCATTGCAGGTTGCATGGCAAGACATTTTTAGAAAATGGAAAAGTGGGTTGTGGCAGTAACTTTCCCATGCCCCCCCCCCCCCCCCCCCACTATTTTGACCTGGCTAGAATCATGACATAGTTGTGATGGCAAGATTCCGGAGTACCCCAGTGTACATCCCCATGCACATCCAGAAAACAGTACACCCACAAGAGTTCTCTCGTTAACTGAAAGGAAGCTATACAGTTCCCAGGTGCCTGGAATACGTTCACTTTGTGAGTAGTTTATAAATACAGCAATAATAACTTGTTGCGGTTCAAGAGAGGAATTTTTGGTGTGTGTGTGTGTGTGTGTGTGTGTGTGTGTGTGTGACTTCAGCATGACAGATGCGTTGTGAGATAAAATTGTACATGTCAGGACAATTTCCCTGGCCTTTAGAGGTGGTATAATAGTGTAGGGATGACCTTATGCAATGCGGTCTGCAATGTGTAGTATTGAGCGCTCAGGTGCAGTCATAGCGAGCGTGTGGGCATGCTTGAATAAGTTTGTATGTGCATGTGAGGGTGTACTCAGCCATCCAGTATAATAATAATGTATGTGCTAGCATATAGTTGTATGCAGGGCATGCAAGAGCATCTTTTGTATTGTTGAGCGAGATGTTTAGAACAGGCAGATATAACTCTAACAATAACACGGCTATCATAATTATTAATGTTTTGTTGGTGGAAATGAATTTGAAAAAGGCACCGTGGTGCATGTCCTATGCTGGTCTACTCCACAGTATACACGCTATGCATGCAGTGCACCAGCTAAAATATCTCTGATTCCATGTATCTATGCACTAGGCCAGGGAGAACACCCACTTTGCTAATGCTGTTGCTGCAAGCATAGCACATGCAAGCAAATACATCAAGTTGTGTAAAGTGCATACCTAATATGGAGGGGGAGATCTAACGCATCTTCTAACGTTACTGTATCAGAGCAGATATGGAATGTGATTCGGAGACACATTTTGGCAACTACAGAACCCATCAAGTTAGCAGCCTGGAAAGTGATGTAAATAGCCTCTGTCTCAGCTCACGGGTGCTGCCTGTGCAGGGTTTCGAAAGTGATTTTTAGTGTATAGTCTGCTGCAACAATCAGACTAGTGCAGCCATACAGGAACACAGACAGCACAAGTCAATCAGACTAGTGCAGCCATACAGGAACCCAGACAGCACAAGTCTTGTTGTTGTTGCTGTTGCTGTATAGGGGTAACCTGCGAGAATTTCAAGGATGTCCTGGCCTAACCGATGGACTGCATGAATCAGAACAGAAGGAGATACAATGGATGTAAGTTTGTGACGTTACCAAAAAGGCAATGCAGAGCGTATTTCCCTAAAATTTAATGTAAGTGACACTTAGCAAATCCCAAGGTTGAAGAAGGGGTGTACTTACCATTGAATGCGATAGATTACTGATGTGAACACACTCAAACCATGTGGCAGAGACCTGACAATTGCAGTGCAACTTATAGCAAGGGAAATACAGTACTACAAGTTACACCTATGCTTCTCTGAACAGATGAACCAAATGTTTGTACCTGGGACTGGAATGAGGCATCAGCAAGACTTAGGGCCAGTTAGGGGTCAAACTAGTAAACCGATTCATCGAGTGCTCGCTTGAAGTATTTTTGCGAGCGAGTACTTGTAAAAAATTACCAAACGTGGTTTTAATAGCATGTGTATGCAGGCGGAAATTATCCTCACACTGTCACACTGTCACACTGTATGCAAGGAGCCAAAATGCCGCTCCTCTGCTGTCTGTTCATGTCCTGGCAGCATAACTCAGGTAATATGCAGCTCAGGGGCATGACATGTGCAAACTGCAACTACGAGTTCAAGTGCAGAACTGCCACAACTAAACACAACTCAACACAAATCCATGACAGAGAAAAGGATTACTCAAGATCACTCGAGTACTCGCTCAGTTTTTCCCCGAGTGCTCGAACAAGGAATATCAACCCTTGTTTCGCCTCTAGTAATAAGAATCTACGGTGAGAAATAGAGAACAAGGTAGTGAGGGAGAGTGTGCGTATGTATGTATGTATGTATGTATGTATGTACACTGTTGTGAATTCCAGCAGAAATCCAAGAGAGCTCGATACCGGGAAGGTAGAGCCGTGACACACTAGTCAGAACAACAGATGGCTTGATCAGTCACAACTTAAAGTTTCATGCCATCTCAGGCACTCATCAAGTGATATGAACATCAAGAAAAATAACCCACCATGAAAAATAACCCACTATTTAAAGCCCAGTATGGCGGGACAAGGATAACAGAAAACGCTAGGGGCGCTATCAACTCATATCCGATTCAGTGTTTAAATAGTGGGTTATTTTTCTTGATGTTCATATCACCTGATGAGTGCCTGAGATGGCATGAAACTTTAAGTTGTGACTGATCAAGCCATCTGTTGTTCTGACTAGTGTATGTATGTATGTATGTATGTAATAATAAGCTTGAGAACACCGAAGGATGTACCCAGAGTGCTGACAGTGCTCAACACCACAAAGGCAGAGCGTAATACACAACACTGTTGTGTAAGCTTGAGAACAAAACGCTGTATGCGCCAAATCTTCAAAATCGAGATTTTTGACCCATCTGAAAGATGACATCGAGCTGAATTTGATGGCGAGGTCATTTTTGGCGAAAACGCAGTACATCCTACAGAAAACCCCATTCAAACAGTCGCTTTCAGAGCAGAACGCTGTATATCCGGCTAGGATTTTTTTCAAAACGCAGTACCGTAGTTCCGCGCATATAAGCCCATGGGCTAATATACGAAATAATGCATTTTCCGGGAAAAAAATCGGTAATATTGGTTCGTTTTTTAGCCCTGGGCCTATATTCTAATTTTGAAGGCAGCTGGCACGCGAAAAAGTACAAGTCCGTGCGCGGTTGTCCGCCTACTGTACGTACCGGTACTGGTAATGTAGTCTGCACTGTACTACGGTGTTTGGGTCTGTTTATTAGCCCATGGGCCTATAAACGGAGGTGGGCTTATATCCGGATATAGGCCCATTGGCTTTTATGCGCGGAACTACGGTATACGCCAGTTGTCATAGTTACACAGTCGTGGGCAGCGCGCGTGGTGTTCAGAACGCGCAGAACACTGCTTTTTGTCATTTTTTCAAATTAGTTCGAATTATTTTTTTGAACGAGCGCTTGACTCGACTTATGGCTGTCAAGTTAGCTTTCTCTTCTTCCTGACGCTGTCGAAGCTCTTGTCTTAGCCATCAGCGTGGCGGAGGTGACATTCGATGGTATGAGTGAGTCAGTTATTTTGTCTCCTGCTGGGAGAGGGCGTCTTGTTCCTATATTCCCACCCGGATATACTGCGCTTTGCCAAAAAGAAGGTGAAAAATTCAAAAAATATCAAAATCTGAGAGGTGTGGATTTTTGATGACATGGTGTTTGGGGTCCAGTATTCCTTCTGGTACTAAATCCAAATTTCCATTGGGATGGGATGTAAGGCAAAGTCAGAACAGAATTTCGACTTTACCCGAAAAGTGCCAAAATGGATATACCGTGTTTTGTTCTCAAGCTCTTCGTATGTATGTATGTGTGTGTGTGTGTGTGTGTGTGTGTGTGTGTGTGTGTGTGGTGTTGCAGGGGGGGGGGGGGGGAGGGGGCACTGGCCAGCATTTCCATGAACTTACCCCCGGTTGTTGAGGACATCTTCAAAATGATACAAGCCAGAGTCAACTGTTTGCTTCATCCACGAGCATTCACGCAATTGTGGGATAGTGCAGCGGCTCTTCGGGTCGGGATGCAGCAGCCACAAGAGCACCCGGGTCAGACCTGTGAACAAACACATAGTTTTTAGTTTTTGAAGTAGAACGATGCACTTAAAAGCACGACTTGGGAACAGATCCAGTTTTCGTCAATGGCATCATCACCATTGAACTGTCTTCAGTAAGTAAAAGCATCATGCAGGTGCAGTGCCAGCAGCTTGTGCAGTGTACTGTAACCCGCAGCAAGACCAGCAAGAGTGCATAAACTCCCAAGAGCATGCAACTGCAGTCTATGGCAGTATGAAGTGGAGGATGAGAGAAGTTGACATTGCGTGACAATTCCGCTTACAGTGTACTTACAGTGTACTTACAGTGTACTTACAGTGTAGGTCTATAGTATTTCTCTCTCCTGCTCATGTAGTAGATGAGCACTCCCATGTGGGGTAGTGCCTTTGCTGTTTGCGTTACGCAGAGCTCACTGACTTGTCAGTTTGAGCACTTGCCTGCTTTAAATCTGGGTCTGGGTTTTAGGGAACACAGCCCCATGCTATGTGATCAGTCGTGTGGAGTCACATAAATCTGGCGTTGGAAAATTTATTTTTCATTCCTATCAGGTTCGACCTCATTTTCTCTGTGCTGCGCTGCCCTGATGAATCCACAAAGGACGAAACAGTTCTGTCCGCAGATTTCATGAGGTCTGTGGTATGCATGTAGGTCTGTGGTATGCATGTAGGTGGCGTTATCAGATCATGCTGCAAAGGTGCATGCATGTTGTACTGCTTTAGTCTTTCAACAGATCCTGGGATGGAGAGTTCTACAGATCCTGGGATGGAGAGTTCTACAGATCCTGGGATGGAGAGTTCTACAGATCCTGGGATGGAAAGTTCTACAGATCCTGGGATGGAGAGTTCTACAGATCCTGGGATGGAGAGTTCTACAGATCCTGGGATGGAAAGTTCTACAGATCCTGGGATGGAGAGTTCTACAGATCCTGGGATGGAGAGTTCTACAGATCCTGGGATGGAGAGTTCTCAATGGAAATCACAGCTGTAGAATGTGCTCGTGCTGGATTCATGTACTGTCAACTTTGCGTATAACCATACTCGGCGGGGCATCAGAAAAGTGTCCTTATTCGCTAGGTGTCCTTATACCCGAAGCCTCATTATAATGTATTACAGTTAGATGGGACTTTGCTCTGGGCATGGGAATTCTATCGTTATTCGCAAATTGTCGTTATATCCGCAGAGATACACCAGGCCACCAGACCATGCTCCTTATAATGCAGAATTTTCAGGGTGGAATACTCCCGGAAACATAATCAATCCAGTGCACTTGTCAGCTGCACTATCTGTGAGCATCTGTGAGAACTTACGTGGGGAGACAACAAATGGAGGATCAAGATGGCCACCAATGATGTCATCGGCGTCCTTAAACGGGTTTTCAAAGAAAACTAGCGTATAGAGAGTAACACCTAGTGTCCACATCTCCAGCTCAGGACCACGGTACCTGCAAGATGGATACCAGACATGTGCACACATACAAAGCAACACACAGCGGCACCCGTTACTTTGGTCCCAGCACAATGCAGTTGAGTCAGTAGCCAGTAGCAAAATAATGCCATCATGCCTTGACAGAAGAAAGTGTGCACACAACTTCACCGGCAAATTCACATTTCGGAGCGCATTGCATTGTAACTCAAGCCATCCCAGAGAGAGTCAGTACATGTATTTGCACAGTAAAGTTGCGGGCAAGCGCCTACCCTTGCATGCACGACATTTCCCGTGACAAGAGTTTGCCCATGATTACAATGGTAGACATTTCCTGTGACAAGAGCTTGGCCATGATTGTGACAAGAGCTTGCTCATGATTACAATGCTAGTGTGACAAGAGTTTGCCCGTGATTACATCCTGTGACAAGAGCTTGCCCATGATTAACAATAATAATATTCGCGGGATCCGCGACACAAACTAGCCTTCCCATCCACAGGCCACCAGTATGCCTGTTCACCTTAGTGGCGAATGCAGACCTCACAAGTGAGTCAGGGAGAGGAGGTTAGTCTCTCAACCAATCGGGCATGTAACGGCCTATAACCCTGTAAACTGCATCCTTGTTATTCTCACTCCGAGCTGTGAGTACCCAGTTGACCGTGGGTTTCAGCAAAGTTCAACACGCATAAAAAGTCTTTTTATTGCATGTCACGTGAGGGTTGTCCGTACTACGGCCAATCAGCGCCCTCCGCAAGCGGTCTGTATTTCTGAGTATTGCCCGCACAGCTGCGGGCAGGAATTCTGCGTATTGACCGGTTTATTGCCCGCTGAATCTGCTCGCTCACGCATGCGCATTCACAGTATGCCAAATCCACTTACCTTGTGTAGGTTACAGTTTTGATACGTGGTGATACTGATGTAAATATGGAAAAGGATAACTTACCAGACAAACCAGCTCCAAATTTGTTGGAAGATGCCCATACTGGTACAGGGATGAATTTATTGTCATATTTTTGCATAGCAGTTTCTGCTATACAAAATCACAATTGTGTAGCAGTCTTTGATTTTGATTAGCATTTTTCTTTGAAGGTTGGGTGTTTACCACATTGTCCTTCTTGAGAGTGATGCCTGAAAGCCCATTTGCAAAAAAACGACTGAATCATAAATGTGCACGCAGATTGAGAGTGCCTGCACCACATACACTGCACTGTATGCATGCTACTTGACAGTGCAGGCTAGGCATAGATAGTCTGTATGTATCGCAGTTTCCTGCGAATCACGGTGACTTTTGAGTAGCAGTAGATCGATTTTGCATCGCAAACTGCGATGCGATACAGGATAAATTCATCCCTGCAGTGGTAGTACTAGTAGCTCAAATGGTGAAGTCAGTGAAGAGAACGCGAGCGTTGAGGCCTGTCGGTTCGAGGAGATCACTGATGAAGACATTGACAACATGATCTCCGATACAAAAAACCGGAACACGTCCGCCATCACCAAGAAATGGCTCGTCGTCCTGGACGAGTATTGCCGAACTCGAAAGATCTCCTGTGATCTGGCAACGGTATCAGCATCGGACCTTGCAGGCGTTTTGAAGCACGCATACGTCGGGATTCGACCGAAAATTGGAAAAAAATTGTATAGCAAGGCAAGCCTGATTTCATTTCGTGCCGCAATTCAACGTCAGCTAACAGAACATCAACGCACAATGAACATCATCACGGACAAAGAGTTCCAGCAAGCAAATATTGCTCTAAATGCCTTTATCAAGAAGATGAAACAGGATGGCAACCTCCAGGAAGTCAACCACAAAGATGCCATTTGTCACGAGGATCAGGCAAAATTAAATTCCTATTTCCTCGCAAACTACGAGACCGACCCTATCGCACTGGCGGAGATGGTGTGGTTTGCAATCACCAAACAGTTTTGTTTACGTGGTCGAGAGTGTCAGTCTGACATGTGTGCGGAGGATTTTGAAGTTTGCAACGACGCAGAATTTGGTGAGTACATCAAAATGACAACTTCCATGAAGTCTAAGAACCATCAAGGTTCGATCGGCACATCTGACAGTGTGTCTGATGGGCGCATTGTAAATCCTGCTCACGTCAAGGCATTTAAACTGCTGGTGAGCAAGCTGCCAACCTCGTCATCTGGCAGGACAAGGCTGTTTCAACAAGTCAAGAAAAAAGCTACAACTGAAGCACAGATCTGGTACAATGGCAAGCCTGTTGGCAAGAATACGCTGGGTGGTCTCCTGAGAATATTGTCTGTTAAGTGTTCATTGTATCAACGATATACCAATCACTCAGTGAGAGCATCCACGATCACTGAAATGTGCCGCCAGAGTGTGTCCCCTTCAACGATAATGGGTGTATCGGGACACACGTGCCAACAGTCACTAACCCATTACAACAGGCCGTCTGAATGTGACAAGCTCAAGGCAGTATCATTGCTCGACGGCCCAAGCAGTGCAAGCACGACCGACATACATCCTGAGCTTGCCGGAATCGACCTGGACCTGTTGTTCCAGCCGCCGATATATTCCGAACCTGTCGCGGCCCAAGCCGTCTAACCTGATGAGTGCTTGGACATCGATGCCCTGATCAGCAGCTGCTCCGCCGAAGAGCTCAACAAACTGGAGACCCAGCAAGGCGCTAGTGTTTTCCAGGCGTGTTCCTATTCTTCGTGTACAATCACGAATCACATCACTATCAATGTTGTAAAGAAATAAACTAATTTTCAAAACCACAAACACGTGTACGTGTACCTCCGCATGCACAGTCAACTGAACTTGAACATGCCTTGTTCTGCTGTATATGGAATGTAGGGTTACAAGCATGCAATAAATGATTTACAGCACCTCGTACGCGCTCGTACACGGGCAATACCGGCTGATACATGACCTCACGGCTGACGCCGTTCGGTCATGTATCAGCCGGTATTGCCCTTGTACTCGCTTGTACTCGGGCTGTAAATCATACTTACACACTCCCTGCTACCAGCGCGGGTCTTGAACTCGGGACCTCATGATTCGCAGGCAGGCCTGCAAACCAATCGGCCATATGCGTTGGTCCGGGATTACACTGATTGCAATGCTAGTGCCTGGCCAATCTTACACTGATTGCAATGCTAGTGCCTGGCCAATCTTACACTACTGTATAAGTACAAATTTTCGTTTAAGAAATCTTTCGTTACATCACTCCACCAGCAGGTTCGTTACGTACTAAATTTCGTTTTTGGTCGAGGTATGTCACCCCGAACGTTCAGAAGGGGTCACTTTGGTTTGGTACAAACATTAGTTATTTTGTACCCCATAACGAATATAGGGAAAGTTAATTCCAAACGAAACTTCGTACTTATAGTAGATGTAGTCAACAAAAATAATAAACGAGAGAGCTTGGAAGCTCAGGGCCCTACGCTATGCTTTTTGCCTAGCTCATCATGCATGTTATTAAAATTGCCCCTCATAGTCGGATTTTCTGGCCTCAGCTGACCCAACGAGGTAAAATTATATTCCATACAATACGATACAATAATACAATAATGTCAGGGGCGTCGGAAGGAGTTTGACATTGGTGCGGCGAAAGTGTGAGAGGGGGGTCGGGGGGTTGTCCCCCGGGAAAAAATTTGAAAATTGGGCCTGAAAGGCCATATTTTAACGCTACAGAATAATATGAGAAATAAGAATATGCATGCTGATGATACACCGCATTGTCGATGTAAAACATGGTACCTGTACAAGAGTCGACAAGCCAACACGGTTGAAATGTAAAAAATAAAAAATAAAACTTCGAAAATTATTGGTGCGGCTTTAGCCGCACCTGCCGCACCGGTTCCGACGCCCCTGAATGTACTTGCCTTGATAGTGTGCTTGTGCTTAACTGTTGCTGACGGCCGAATGCATGGTTGGCTGTGGAGCACTTTACATAACTTTACAGTCTCCTATAATATGCATCCTGTCCGACGGCAAAGGAGGCTGCGGATTTAGTTTTCTGCACGTTATCAGCAATGACTACTGATCTTCAGCAACTTGAGTCTCCTACAATACGCATCCTGTCTATGCTTTTGTAATGCTAACATAATGCTCGGGATAGCACTTGCTACTGATCTTCAGAAACTTGGCCTGACTCTCACTCACAATAAGACCGTTGTAATGTTCACCGTTCCCAAGCGGTCGCTGGTATCTTCCACAATTTCATCGTACTGTTGTACGACATGCTATACGACATCCTTATACCGTCCAACACCGTATTGATGTCTTTGATGGTACGGTACGGGACAGGTACGGGATACCGCCAGGCATGTCGATGGCACAAACAAACACGAAATTAAAGCTGTGTGGACCCTGGCTAGCGCCAGACGTTACTGAAGTAACGTCTTTTGCATAGCTACGGGAATAATCTAATTTTGATTATGACATGATTTTGCCGAGGGCAATATCTAAACAGAGCACTTTGACGATGGGGTCAGGTGGCTGTGGGGACACAGCAGATGCATTGACATTTGACAATGACTTACTTGTTTCCGGAGAGGACTTCCGGTGAGCAGTACTCTACGGTGCCACAGAATAAATCAAACAGCTGGCCTTCTTTCATGATTGCTGCAGAGCCGAAGTCTATTAACTTAACTCGAAAGTTTCGATCTATAATGATGTTTTCATCCTGCAGGAGATATCACCCCACGACAAACATTGAAAGTACTCGGCAACTTGGCAAGAACGACTTGATATATAATTAAACAAAAGAACGTTTTGAGGGAGCACTGGAGAAGCAGTGATATTATACACGTTTGGCATTCCAAATTTCGGAAGTTCTGACAGAAACTGTAACCGTTCAGCACACACATAGAAGGACGGCGTTGTTGGATTCCACATTGGTTTTAGAACAAGACGGTTATTTACAAATTACTACATGAATTGCATGCATTGCATGCATTGCACATTGCACTGACAGCCCGTAACAGCCAATAACCTTAGTAAGCTGGCGAGTAACAGCTGTGATGCGGCAGTTGCAGTCACACTGTTACAGAAACTGGGTTTGAGAGTCGAAGCTGTAGTCAAACTTCGCAAAGGACGGAAAAGGCCAAAAAGCCGAGAATAATTTTTAGGGGTGGAAGCCGGCATTGAGATCCCGAGTTCGAGTACTCTGATTCTCTCCGATCGAATATTCGAGTATTCGAGTATTCTTCATCTCCTAAAAATTGCACACCAAGGGCCTTAAAATCACATGATACAACCCTGATTGAACCGAGTAGCAGTCATTTTTCTCGGGTATATTGGTTGGTGGGTCATTTGGGCTCTCTACTCGTGAACAAATGTTCACCACACAGTCTGCACATCAATATCTGCCGACTGCTGCTCTGAAACTGCAGATTTCTGTGGTGAATGCATGCACCATGTATGAACGAGTACTCTGATTTATTCCGAGTACGATAATTACTTTTTTAACCGAGCGAGTGCTCGAGTATTCGGTATAATTGTTTCACCCCTAGTACTAATTTTCGACTTATTGGATGCGGTAGGTGTGTGCATGCCCCAACCATTCCATGTGGCACATGTGTGCATGCCCCAACCATTCCATGTGGCACATGTGTGCAGTGAAACAATGCTTCCACTGAAATTCCAATAGTCGAATGCCTTCACTGACCTTCTTAGTCCATAATGGATTGCCTAAAACAGATTAACCCGTTCACTCATTATGGTCGAAAGCATGATCATAATCTATTTCTTGAATGTACTAGTTATCTCACTTTCAAAGTTTCCACACCACCATTGCATCCCTAGGCCGACCATGCACCACTGTCAGCACACCACAACAGCAAGAGAATCAGGATAGCAGATTCCTTTATACAGCAGCTTCAATCTCTCATATCCCAAACAAGTGAAAAGACCGAATCAGAATGGGGCGGAGTGAGTGCAATGTAGCCAAATGGGGAAGAGCTTTCCTTTAATTAAAATAAACTGTCCACCAAGATCACGCCATACCTTGATATCTCGATGAATGATGTTCCTCTGGTGAAGGTAATCCACAGCATCTACAACCTGCATAGTACATATAATGCATAGAAGAAGGGTGAACAACACAAACACAGCCGCAGAATGCAAAGCAACACGGGTAAACCGGTCAATGTGCTTTAAGATCAGCCACACACACCATGAAACCAAGTATCATGTAACATTAACGTTATGTACATCGCAAGAGAAGGAAGAAAATCACACAAACACACACACACACACATACACACACAGGCGTGCACACATACACATACCATTGTTCCTGCGAGGAGAGCTCTATGCTACAGAAAATGGGACGTGAGAGCAGCCAAGCAAAATGTAGCCAGCCCATTGCACTAAAACCTACAGTACTTCAAGTAGAAAGGAAAAGGACATATGGAAACGAGTAACTCTCCATTACTGTAACCAGATACTATATACAGTCAGAAAGTGCAACAACTAGGCACAAAACTTACTGAGACATTCGACGTCCTGACACCTAGCTTCAACACATCTCCATTCCTTGAACCTTCCGAGTTGGAAGGCTGTCAGTTAGCGCTACGGAGATGTGTTGAAGCTAGGTGTCAGGACGTCGAATATCTCAGTAAGTTTTGTGCCTAGTTGTTGCACTTTCTGACTGTATATAGTATCTGGTTACAGCGATGGAGAGTTACTCTTAACTTGTTTCCATATGTGCTTTTCCTTTCTACATTTATTATTGGCTCAACATCCGAGTTCCAAAGTACTTCAAGTAGTTACAATTACTTGTATTGTACACAAAGTGTATTGTACATTGTACATGGCACATCGTCAATTTGAAAATGCTTTCTTGTTGACTAGACTTCATTCGGGCCTGTCACTCTGACCTCCGCTAACCAGACCTGACACTGTCCAAAGATTGAGTATCGTACATGTCTACTAGTACATGATTGTATAGGTACACGTATGAACGTCCTGCCTATAGTTCAGTACATCTCAATCAGGTGGAAACAAGAGAGAACTAGAAGACCTAACTGTTCAGTGTTCGGAATTCTGAAGAGGAGAGCGACAGAAACCAGTCTCATACGAGAAAACAAACCTGAGAAAATATGAAGAATGCGAGAGGTTCGTTTACTGCTGGTTCATGGTCAATAAACTCGAAGAGATCCATGCCTTCTCCATGTTTGGCCATGACAAGCTGGTAGAAGTGTTCCGTTTCGAATACGTCGATGAGCTGCATACAGAAAACAGAACATTGCAGCAAGGAAAGTCAATACATGCAGGGTGAGTGTCAGGAGTATCGGTATTACTCTCTGAATAAGTCAGGAGTATTACTCTCTGAATAAGTCAGGAGTATTACTCTCTGAATAAGTCAGGAGTAGTACTCTCTGAATAAGTCAGGAGTATTACTCTCTGAATAAGTCAGGAGTATTACTCTCTGAATAAGTCAGGAGTATTACTCTCTGAATAAGTCAGGAGTATTACTCTCTGAATAAGTCAGGAGTAGTACTCTCTGAATAAGTCAGGAGTATTACCCTCTGAATAAGTCAGGAGTATTACTTTCTGAATACGTCCTCCGATGATCTCAAACTCACCTAACCCTCAGGGAATGTTTTGACCTTGCTAATGACAAAATCTCATTCTCAATGGGTAAAAATCATTGAGAGATGCGTGAACTTCATTTCGGTGGCATGCTGTCGTTGGTTATCAGGCCAAAGGAGCTACGAGAAAATCTCTTTCTTTTAAAAAAACCCTACAGTCCATTCAGAAAAAAATGAACTTCTAGCTTTTGGCCATAAATGGGTCAAACGTTGAGTTTTTTTAGAATTTTTTTCTGCAATCCTCTATGGAATCCTCTTCCAATTATGTTTCTGAAGTTTTTTTCGCCAAAAAGCAAGCCATAACAAGAATAGGATTTCGGCCAGGTTTTGCCCCCAAAGCATTGAATTGGGAAAAACCATAAAAATCCAGGCCGTTTGACCCCGTCTGCAACATGTATTAACAGTGCATGGTGCGGTTCTAACCCCAGTTCAGGTACCCTTTTTGGACCCTTTTTCAAATTTCAAATTTCGCAGCACTGCACTGTGTACGATGAAATCACGAAAAATCGCCAAATACGGGAGCTCGCCAGAGCCAGAGCCCATCTTTTTATGAATGGACTGTAGGTGCAGACGAAACTTGTGCGTGTCGGTGTGTAAGTTGAAAAGTACACCACATACTAGAAGATGGGTACAATCAAACATAATTGTTTTGTTGTTGCTTTTGAAGGGGGGGGGGGGGGGGGGAGGGATTTGTAACGAATGCCATGCACCATGCACAAACTGGGGTGCCAGTTTGTAACTTTGCAGCTGAAAAAGAGTGTGTGCGCAGGCGTGTATCTACCACCAATGCTATCCAACAGAAATACAGCTGGAGTAGTATTCTCTGGAATCTCTAACAATTTAACAATTTAGCGTCGATTTTAACATGATTTCAGAGACTAGAGTTTCAAGTCAGATAACATCAGTCACATGCTGAACGGAGTGATACCTTTTGTAAGGACAAGGACACAGTTTTTGTAAGGACAAGGACACAGTTTTTTACGAATATATTCCTTTCAGCTAAAATCACCAAAAGTTGCCCATTGCTGAAAAAATGCCACATGACATATTGCTGCTATTCCGGCACCCACTTGAGCTGGCCAGCTAGCCCCATAGACAAACTTGAGCTGGCCAGCCAGCTAGGCACATAGACAAACTTGAGCTGGCCAGCCACCTAGGCACATAGACAAACAACAATACTTTACAGAAACTCTGGCACTGATGCTTTGACTACTTGGACAAAAGTCTCTTCACTATAAACATGCTACAGACAGCACATTCGAATACACGGACATACGCTGACAATGTTGGGATGCTCTAGCGTGCGGAGGAGAAAGAGCTCGGTTGGAACTGAGTCGGTGGCATCAAAGAAGGACTGCTGCGTGATAATGTTGAATTGATCCCTCTGCTCTAGCGTGATGTGTGTCCAGCCGCATGATAGAACATCTTTCTTCCCAATACACTTGACTATGACCTGTGAAAACATGAATTGGCAAACACCAGAATTCAACTCGTCTATTCAGAAATAATTGAGTTTCCACAGTGTAGCTTTAAATAAGATGTGTGACAAGAACATCACAGCTTCTTGAAGCTAAACTTTCAACACAACAATGCATGGAGTTGCAGTATCCAAATCCAAATTATGAAATCAAGAAATGGGCATTGAGCCTAAATTCTGCCCAAACTAGATTTTCGAAGCTGTGAATGGATCATAGTTGAAAATATAGAGGAAGAATTACCGAGCTAAATTACGACAGGAAAACAAACCTCACACAATGACTGAAATCGGCAAAACAATTCTTGCAAGTCAACTTGTATTCGCAAATGATTATGTTTTTGCGGTGATGCACTCTGTCTGCAGTTATTCATTGAACATTCTGGCCTTGCAGCACATGTACACACACCTCATCACCAGTGGAGTTCTGGTACGCCAGCTTGACATCACCGAATGCACCGCTCCCGATAGTTCTGATGTTAGTGTAGGCTTCAGCATAGGGGCCCTTGAAGGCTGCCTCTGCCAATAGTTTATTCTGAGTAGAGAAGAATCATGTGTTCAGGAACAAGGGTATAGACATTGGTGTATAGATCACAAGCGGCATCTCTAAGTATGTACATGCACGTGCAGAGTATAATCAGGGATAGTGCTGTTCCTGCGGTACCCCCCCCCCCCCCTCCCCTTGGGCAACAGCTACAGCATGTGCAGATACTTGCACAATGGCGGCGACAATAACGACAGCGACAAGGACAACAACAATGACGACAACAATAACAACAACAAGCTGTTGCACAACTCTGTATGCTCGTGTAGCGACCACCCCTGCCCGTACACTTAAGTAGTCATTAATAGTGCTGAAACGAGTACTCTATAAGCTATCGAGCGAGTACTGTCACTATCGAGTCGAGTATCGAGTACTCTATAAGCAATCATGCACATATATGTCAGTACAACATACCCATTTTTTGCACACCATTTATACAATTCAATATCCTTCAATAAACACAAATTTTCATTGCAAAGCCACGACGGACGTGTACGTTGCTATCAAGTTTTTTTTAGTTTTTTATTTTATTTATTTATTTATCGAGTCCTTTTTTGATATCGAGTCGAGTACTCAACGAGCGGGTACTCGAGTACTCGGCGTACTCGTTTCAGCACTAGTCATTAACCCCTAGGCTCTGCCCACCCAATTCTTCCTCACTCTTTCTCCTTTCTTACACTATTATCTCTTATTGGCCACTGGCTATCGTGAGAATAAAGATTTGAAACAACAACAACAACAACACAAACAACAACAACAACAACAACAACAACAACAACAACAACAACAGCAGCAGCAGCAGCAGCAACAGCAGCAGCAGCAGCAGCAGCAGCAGCAGCAGCAACAGCAGCAGCAGCAGCAGCAGAACATTGAGCTCCACTGTAGTATTGCATCCCATCTAAGGGACCATCCATACCCCAGATAAATACTAAGTATGGATATTTTTCAATTGAAATTTTGTAATTTCTCCTCATATGCCCCCCCCCCCCTCTCTCTCTCTCTCTCTCTCTCTCTCTCTCTCTCTCTCTCTCTCTCTCTCTCTCTCTCTCTCTCTCTCTCTCTTTCTCTTCATGCAACACACATTTACCACCATGATCTCTTTTCAGAGTACATAGAGCATTGTTAGGGCGCGTTCGAATTGTCTTCATCAACTGTTCTAACAAATTTTATAAAGAGATTAGTTGAAGTGTCCCATTAGAACGGTTTCCATCATTTTATAGTTTTTCAGTGGAATTGTCACGGCGATGATGACGTCCGATCAGATCGACCATCTCCATGTACTACGTGACGTAGCTATTCCAAACTCTTCGAAACTAATCCACCTTCCCATCGGATGAGTTTCGAGGAGTTTCGAGGAGCTTCGTTTTCTGAAGAGGCCAATAAGGGCACCTCTTCAGAAAAACGAAGCTCCTCGAGAAGTCAAAGAGTGACAATTCGAACGCGCCCTTAGATTCAATACTGAAGAGAACAGCACGTGAACCCCTCCCCCCTCCCCCACAAACAATAAAATCATAGCTATTTAGAGAGGATCCTTGAGGGAAAAATAGCATACCAGGTCATCCTGCCTTTCAATGACGGTGAAGCTGGACGTTGGGGATGGTGACTGTTGCGCACCATGTTCTCGCTTCAACCAAAAGCAGAGCAGAGACGTTTCATTGTTGAACAAGATGAGCTTGACCTTGATATTGATATCCACTCTGAAGTCATCCTTGTGGATTGCTGTTGTGTTCAATGATAACCCGGTCAGAGATGCAGACTGCATAAGACACGCACAACAGTTTAACCAGAGTAACCGTGAGAATCCAGGCGCAATGCCTAGAGCACTCCACTACCAAATATAGCACTTCAAAGTAGTACTGTACTCGTAGAGTCTCGTATACCAGTAGGACCATACACATAAACACATAAACACAGAATCTGAAGAAAGGACAGCACAGGCTGCGGCAGACAAGCAGCATTGCAGGTACAAATGTGCCAAATCTCCCAATCTCCTGCCCAATAACAAAACTCCCGATTTGCTGCCGTTTTTCGCCAAGCATGGACACAGACTGCAAGCACACTGGCTCACACAGTAGAATACACACAGTAGAATACACACAGTAGAATACACACAGTAGAATACACACAGTAGAATACACACAGTAGAATACACACAGTAGAATACACACAGTAGAATACACACAGTAGAATACACACAGTAGAATACACACAGTAGAATACACACAGTAGAATACACACAGTAGAATACACACAGTAGAATACACACAGTAGAATACACACAGTAGAATACACACAGTAGAATACACACAGTAGAATACACACAGTAGAATCAGTTACAAAATCATGTAATGCACATAATGACTTATGTAGATCTACGAGCACAGTGTTTGTACAACTAACTGGTGACTACATAGTGTGTGCAGTGCAACACATGCATGGCATGTCCCGTGTGCGAGTGAAATGAGCTCACGCTACAGCTTTCGCTTGCGCTGCTAGCTCTGTTCACGGATTAGCAGAGAAAATTCTGATAGCCCTGTGGCATTTGTTGCGCGCATTTCCCCCGAAAGCTGGGTGAGTGGCTGTGCGCCTAGGCGCCTGCCCTACTAGATGGGAATCTGTGTGGAAAATTTCACGAAAAGCGTCAATTCGTTCTTATAGAAGCATGAACGGCCCTGAAACTCTCAGAACATGTGGTGTTAGGGACACTGAATCGAATGGTCTTGGTCTGAGAGGCTACGATACAGTGTTTGGCCCTTATTCCCAATCGACCGTAGTCTCATAGTGATGGGTGCATCAGTCACCGTACCCGTGCAGTGCATCACACACCTAGTGTGAGTGCTCGTCTCGAGTGCAGTGACACAGCGTCCCGCATACAATGTATGCCTTGCCAAACGGCATGATCCATGGAACTGGTAGTGATGTGAGTCCGTGCACTGGATGTAAACCATGGTAGACCCACAGCACTACAGGGTACACTCATCTCCATCCTCGTATGACAAAGGCAGCAGTGCTGCCAGGACACTATCTCTCTCCTCTGCCGTTGTAAGGTACTACAAGTACAGTCAACTTCGCTAATAACGACTGCGGATATAACGACAATTCGCGAATAACGACAGAATTTCCATGCTCAGAGCAAAGTCCCATCTCACTGTAAAACATATAATGAGACTTTTGGTATAAGGACACTTCGCGAATAAGGGCACTTTCTGATGCCCCGCCGAGTGTCGTTATACGCAAAGTTGACTGTAATGCGGAATAGGAGCTTCGCGTTGAATTTATATTTCGAAAACACAAAAAGTTTAAAATTCCCGGCCAATCATGATCGCTATTATTCCTTTCAATGGCAACTGAGTCAACTGAGATTACGAAAAGAAAACCAAGATGTTCAACTTGCAAAAATAACTTTTCGTTAAAAAATTCAACGTTATTTTTTTGACAAATGAACATCGACGCTGAACCGAATTTCGAAATAGAAATGTTTGGAAAGTGTGAGGGTCACCACGGTCTCAGAGACCATCTGCGTTTAAACATTGTGAAAGGCCAGTCTTAGGGGTGGTTGTGAGTATAAGGAGGAATGCATGAGGAAATACCTGCGGGAGTACTTGGGAAATGCCGGAGGGAATGGCCGAGGTAATGCCTAAGGGAGTGCCTGTACATATTTGTGCACACTACAATACCCAATGACACGATACCATCCATTAATTAAATCAAAAACTTACACGGCTACTCGGATCGGAGGAACGATTTGACTCCAGACTTGTAGCAAGGTGGGACATGAAATCACCCGAGCCGGGAAGACTGCTAACCGGCTTTGCAAACGGTGTACCATAGCTTCTGGTAAGCTTCCATTGCTTTCTGTTGCCCTCACTGCCGGATTCTGGAGTTGGTGACCTGGTCCACTGTACACCTGCGTCATTCATGGATTCATGCATCGAGTTTGAACACGGGTTTCCCTGCCTATCTGCAGCAGCGGCGTCGGTGAATGAGCCAATGCTGTTTGCATCCGCTATGTGCCAGATGGAAAGCAGAATGCAACAAACAGGAAAACAGAGTCAAGGATAATAATAACAATCACACGCTACAGAGCTGGATACACATTAGTCGTGGCGACTTTGGCCACACCTCAACAGTACCAAATTCAAACGAACTGGATGTGTCCACTATAAACTGGATTGTATAGAGGTAGACACTTTGGTGATGAGAGATGAATTGTGGGATCTCGCACTTTTCCTGCCGACTTCACTTGATACTTGACTGACTCACGATTACCATCTAGAGCACACAAGAAGTCCATCGAATCTTCCGCTGGGCAAACCTGCAAGAAACCATCACTCCCCGTGCAATGCACACAGTTTTATGAGAGTCTTGATGATTTTGGTGATTTTCGAGTAGCAGTAGAGAAGCTTTGCATCGCAAATTCGTCATTGTAATCTAATTTCAACGATGTGCTATATTCTCATAGACAGAACAAGTGACACAGAGCAAGTGACAGAAGTGAACAAAACAAGCTGTAGCTGGAGACACTATACCTCTCTCCAATATAACACCCAGGTCTTTGGATGCCGAATGCTTTCCGGGAGTTGTTGAGGCAAGACCAGCTCCAGCAGTACAAGAACTAGAGGATGCTGCACTTCCATTGCTGGTTACAGAGTCGGGGCTATCTAACGCCAGCCGGTGATGATACGGCTGGGTGTTGAATTTCACGCACTTCAAACCGGCCGAGCGTACTTCAGTCCAGACGCCGGGTATTAGCTGATCAACGGCCTAAATGATCATCACACAAAGGACACAGCAGATATCAGATGCAAGCATGTAAGTCTCAGCTTCATCCATCATTTGGTGTGGCATGGTACAGGTGGAATCCTGATAATTTGAATATGACTTAATTCAAACAAGCCGCTTAGTAAGAAGTTTCTTGCAGGACCGATCTCAATCAATATGAACATTACCGAGGTTATGCTATACCTGAAACGCAGAGAAATCCTGTAGAGAACATGTGTCTGGGTTAGAGTATATGGCTCCGCGTGCTTTGGGTCCAGATTTCTATGCGGAGGT